TTTGCCATAATTATGAGAGGGAAATGATATCAATATTATTAGAAAAAAACTAACTCCTTAGAGGATTAACTTATTTTTAGAATGAGCTAGAATTGTAAAAAAAATTGTCATTTATGGAATAAATGAAGAGTAATATTATTAATGAAAACAATATTAAATAAAGGATTAGGCATGTAAAAATCTTATTTTTTTTTCTATTACAAGTCCAAAAAATGGATATTTTTGAAATTTAGCCACTAATATCACACCGTCTTGGATAAATATTATTTTAAGTTGCAGCCAAACGTAAAGGGCCATTTTAATGGGTTCTGAGTCTGTGATTATTTTTCTCTTACAAGTCCAGAAAATAGATATATTTGAAAACTTTAACCACTCATATTCCGATGTCTCGGATAAAGATTATTTTAAGTTACAATCCAAACTTAAGGGACTATTTCACAATGACTTTTGAATTTGTGGTTATTTTTTAATTATAAGTCCAAATAATAGTTATTTTTGAAATTTAACCACTAATATTCCACCGCTTCAGATAGAAAATTATTTTAAGTTATAGTCCAAACTTAAGGAGAAACTTTATTTTGAGTGAGGCACAACCAACGATAATTGTGTGAGGCACCCCTATTTTTGACAAGTGTGTTGTAGGGCCCCACTTGTCAGGACACTTTCTCTTTCCTCTTTATTTCTCAAATTCCCCTCCAACATTTTACGTCTTTCTCCATTTCGTTCCTTTCTTCTTTTCTTTCTCTCCAACGTCCTTCTCTTCTTTAATTTGTCTGATTGTCTCCCCTACTCTTTTCATAGTCTTGCTTCATTTATCAAAACTCAAATAGAAAATTGGGGATTAATATTAATTTAAATTTTATATATCTCTTTTTTTTCCCTGTGTTTTCCGAATTTTTGTTCCTAATACACCTACAAGACTAAATTTTATAAGGATTCAGGTATTCTAATTTCCTCATTCATGCTTTTTAATTAGTTTTTAAATTTCATAATGTAAGAATTCTAATAAGTATAAAACCAGTTAACCACTACAAATTTTCAAATTTATTTATTTATTTATTTATTTATTTGAAGGTTGACAACGACAAGTGGGGGTAGAGCGCGGACAAATGTGCTTACACTTGCTCATTTATTTTGAAGTTCGAATTAATTGTTGAATTGTATTTTATTCACTTTGTCCCAAATTATCTATTTTTGCTTTTGAAGAGTTAATTTGAATAATTTTAACGTTAAATTGAATTAGATAAACTCAATATGTTAAAATTTAATATTTAAAAAAATTACAAAAATATCATAAGTTGCAAATTTTTTCATATTAATATGATAAAAATAATATATTTTAAAATATTGGTTATAGTTCACATTAATAATATCTCGAAGAGCGAAAAGTGATAGACAATTTGTGATGAAGGAAATACTATTTTTCTTTTACAAATAAAAATAGTACTCTACAATATATTAGTCAAACTATCGAAATTCATTCTTAAGTCAAAAGTTATGCAAAACGAGATGGAAGAAGATCTTTTCCCAAAAATTTCTTGTTTCCTACTATTTGATTTATTATACCCCTCCATTTTAGTTTACGTGAACATATATCTCATTTTGTCTGTACAAAAAAGAATGACCATTTTTTATATTTGAAAATAATTTACTTTTATTCAATGATTTATAGTCAAAATAGGACGGGCTAGCCAGTTTTCGGACTGGTCATTCAAAAATAGCAGCATTTGTCAAGTCATTGAAAAATAGCCACTAGTTTGCTGCAAAGAAACCGGTCTAGCATAATATACTGGAGTTTGGTGGATTTGTGTATGAACTTCTAGCATCTTATGCCGGATCAATATACTTTGCTGGGTCCTGTATAATATACCGGAGTTCCAGCAAAGTATATTGGTACTCCAAACTCCAGTATAATATACTGGAGTTTCAGTATATTATGCTGGAGTATTTTCCGGATTTTAGACAGTGTTTTCGTTCAGATTTATCTTTACATGAAAAGTGGCTAATTTCGATGACTTTTGAAACTGTGGCTATTTTGAATGACCACTTATAAATCTGGCTATTTATGAATTTCTCCCTGATTTATATCCATATAAAATATATGTGCCTCATTTTACATCACAATTTCAAAATTCTTCTATCTTTTCTTAAATTCCATGCCCAATTAAATTGGTTGAGATAAATTAAAACGGAGGAAACATATTATTCGTACACTATCTCATTTTGGTTTTGGCGATAAATTATTTCAGTGAAATTACATGTCTAATGAATTTATTTACGTGTTCGAAACTGCAAAGTGCAAACGTAGAACCACCACATTTTGAGGAATGAGGTGGAAGAGAGAGTGTGCCAGCAAGGTGGGGCCCAACGGACACTTGTCAAAACAAAAAGTGCGCTCATACAACTATTGTTGGTTGTGTCTCGCCCAAAATAAAATTTCTCAAACTTAAGAGTCTATTTTTAACGACTTTTGAATTTATGGCTATTTTTTAATTACTAGTTCAAAAATGGCTATTTTTGAACTTTAGCCACTAATATTCCACGGTCATGGATAAAGATTATTTTTAAGTCCAAACTGTGGAAAAGGAAGTCTTGAAGGAAAGAAGAACTACAAGTACCCTTTTCCTACTAAAATCTATAACTAAAAACAAGAAAACACACGAAAATGGCAGAGGAAGCTGAGAAATTGCGGTTAGATGAAGTAGAAGTGGGCGATGATGGACCTGAAGAAGGAGAAATTGTGGGGGAATCAGATGATACGGCGTCGTATTTGGGAAAAGAAATCAAAGCTAAGCACCCGTTAGAGAATTCTTGGACTTTTTGGTTTGATAATCCTATGGCTAAATCTAGACAAGCTGCTTGGGGCAGTTCCCTTCGCGATATTTACACTTTTTCCACTGTCGAAGATTTTTGGGGGTACGTTTTTTCATACTCCCTTTATCCTAATTTAGGCGACACTCTTTCCTTTTTTGTTTTCTAAAAGAAAAATAATCTTTCTATATTTAATAATAAAATTTACCCTTAGTTAGATTTATAGCCACACATTTTAGACTAAAAATCATCTTTTTCTTTCTTAAACTGGAACCTGTAAATTGGGACGGAGGGGTATATATTTCGTGTTAAGTCATTTTGTTGTGTTCTTTGGTTGTAATAAATCATGGGGTTTTACTTTATTGTTCCACAATTTTGTGGGTTCTATGGATTTTGTTGAATTATGGTTTTGAATATCTCTTGATTATCTGTCTTCAAATAGGGGATATTGGGTAAAATCATACTCCCTCAGTTCTCTCCGTTCAATTTTATGTGACATTAAATCTGTTAAAAAAAGACGCCTTTAAAATTTCTAGAAATAATTTAACTTCTAAATTTCTCATTTGTGTTAATGAGATGATTTGTAGCTACACAAAAAATATTACATGGGAGGGAGGGACTATCTTGTTTTGATTTTCAAGTTAAGGAACTTCCATTTCAGGTTAGGTGTTTAGTTGATGTGGCAACTCGGTGCAATCTTACTTTGGAGTGCCCGAATCGGTTTGAGCTTAAGTTTATGCAAGTTGTATTAGTACCTATACATTGCTTTGTTGGTGCTGTTGTAATGTGTAACTGACTTCAATTGGGCCATATCGTCGATTCCTCGGATAATTTCTCTTGCTTCAAATCTAAGAACCTCATTCCTGTTTGTCAAATGGCCATATTTTCAACTATCTATATGTTGTAAATACCATTTTGAGCTGATAAGGTAGTGAATGATGCTTTGGTCTAAGATTTCTCTCCTAAGCGGGATATTGAAGTTACTAGTTTCAACTTTCAAGTACCAACTACTCCCTCCGTCCTAATTTATGTGGCTATGTTCGGATTTCGAGAGTCAAATGGGTTATTTTTTTACCACGACTTTGTCATGTCTTATAAATACTTTAGATTGTTATTTTTGTGACATGTAGTACTTTTACATAATTTTTGTAAATTTTATTACAAAAAGCTTAAAGATTCTTTGTCCCAAATCATGGTCAAAATGAAGAGGTTCGACTCTCTAAATCCGAAGACGGTCACATAAATTTGGACAATGGGAGTATCTCATTTCAAACGGAAAAAGGTTAAAAATGCCCCTAAACTATTGAAAAGGTTTAAAAATATCCTCCGTCCACCTATTGGGCTAAAAATATCCTTCCATCCACTATTTTGGTTCACTTATGCCCTTTGACTGTAATTCAATACTGAATTAAAAATAATAATTATTTAAATTTCACGTGACAACTTAGTATTGGCCAAAATTAAAACATCTAACCCCATTACAAAAACCCACCCATATCCACCAGTTTTTTATACTAACCTGCTTCAAACACTAACCCGACCCGAACAAAAAGTTCAACTAAAAAAGGAGGCCCCACTTCTATCAAACTCCATGGAAGTTGCAGCAAACATATAGACGCAAATTTACTACGTGATTTTCTTTTTCTTGTTATGGCATCCAGATTAATTTACATGATAGACACAAATTGCATTATATTCAAGATGAGTTTAATTTAATCATTTTCACATAACGGAAAGATCTCAAAGTGATTGTTTGGAAGATATCATCTAAGTTGTTCGGACACGGGGGCAGGTGTCCGACACGGGTGTGGATCTACAGGTTGGATCCTTCGAGATGTAAATTCTAAGATTCGGGGATCCTAGTACAGATACGGATACAGGGATTCGGCTAAAAATAATTTAAAAATATAAAAATATCTCTAAAATATGGGAAATTTTATGGAATACTTGCGTGTAGCTTGTAAAGTGTGGATTTCTATTTTATTTTCAAGTTGTAAATAAGTAAAGGATTGATTTCCTAGGTAAAGTATGTTACTTTCTTCAACTTTACCCGAATTTTGGTTCTGAATTCGGGAATCGAGTTGTATCTCATCTCGAATTTTTTCGTACGCCGTGGTCAAAGTACCCAAAGTTGTTTGACCAGAGCCGATACGGATCCCATATCCACACCCATACTAGTGTCGTGTCGACACGGGTGCGGCACCTAAATTGCCATGTCGGAGCAACTTAGGATATCATAAACCGTTGGACTATCCCTAGTTTTTCGTCCCACTTTATTGTCAAGAAAATCATTGGTTCATTCATGCTAGGATTTTCTTGTTTGTTTAATTTGTTCATGAACCTTTATTCGATGATAATGAACATGAGATTAATCAAGAAAATGAACACATGTAAATCCATGGGTTAGATAGAAGTGGGGCGTCTTTTTTTTATTTGACCTTTTTAATCGGGTCAGGTTAGTGTTTGGGACGGGTTAGTCGGAAAAATAGGTAGATATGGGTGAGTCTTTCTAATAGGTTAGATGTTTTAATTTTGACCAATAAGAAGTTGCCACGTGAAATGTAAATAATTATTTTTTAAATTCAGCATTGACCTAGCGAACAAAGGGCATAAGTGAACCAAAGAAGTGGATAGAGGGGTATTTTTAGTCCAATAGGTGGATGGAGGGTATTTTTAGACCTTTTTCAATAGTTCAAGGGCATTTTCGACCCTTCTCCATTTTTCAAATGCACATAATAAGAGCAAGGTTATGTGTAGTTCATACCTGTGACGTCTTGATGTGCATTTGTAAGCTGACTATTCATTTAAAAAAATAAAAATAGTTGCTTTTCTATTACTTAATTATAAAATACACTCATCTGCCCTCTGTACTTCCTAAAAAACATAGCTGCAGGGCAGTATTTCAATCTCAATCATGGATCTTTTTATTAAGTCCTCTGATTTGAGTAACGTAAGATGGTAAGGATGTGAATTTGGTGTCCGACTTGGATGCATGCACCTTGTTTGGTGAATTATTTATTGGTCTATTGTACAACTTGGACTATGGCATGCTTATTTTGTTATTCTGCATCTTGGATTAGATGTTTTCAAATGCTATTATTCTGTTTGCTCTTGATGAAATCCTTGAACCATGTCGCTTAAATTCTGCAAACAGTGTTTACAATAATATCAACCACCCAAGCAAGTTAGTTGCGGGAGCAGACTTACATTGTTTTAAGCATAAAATCGAGCCAAAGTGGGAAGATCCTGTATGTGCCAATGGAGGGAAGTGGACAATGAGCTTTAGTAAGGGTAAATCTGATACCAGCTGGCTATACACGGTATGCTGAAGATATTTTCGTCAAGTTCTTAATGTTAGGGGGCACTCTAGTAAAGTTATTTTCCCCTTCGATATTATTTCAACTCTTATTTTCTCATTCGGGATTATTATAGCTGCTGGCAATGATTGGACATCAATTCGATCACGGAGATGAAATTTGTGGAGCAGTCGTTAGTGTCCGAGGTAAGGGAGAAAAAATAGCTTTATGGACCAAGAATGCTGCAGATGAAACAGCCCAGGTAATTTACTTGTTACCAATAGCCTACTTATATTACTCCCTTTATTTCAATTTATGTGACGCACTTTGTTTTTTAGTCTGTCCCAAAAAGAATGATACCTTTCTATATCTAGGAACAATTTAACTTTGAACTTTAATGAGATGACTTGCAGACACACACATCTATAGCTTGTTTTATCACAAGTTTCAAAAGTTATTCTTTATTTCTTAAACTCCATGCCCAGTCAAAGAGATAAAATGGGATGGAGGGAGTACTTTTTATTTTTGACGGCAATGACCAGGTTTGTCATTGTTGTGGACCAAGTGGACAGACATTTTTGTTGTGTGCATATGTAGTGCTGAAGTTTATTCAAGATATACATCATCTAAACCATCTTATGATGCCATTAATAGTAACGCATAAGATAACAAGGGTGTGGCCTAGTGGTCAATGAAGTGGATTGAGAACCATAAGGTCTCAAGTTCAAATCCCAATGGAGGCAAAAATAATAGATGATGTCTTCCTGATTGTCCGAGCCTTGGTGGGCAAAATTACCCCGTATCTGTGCTTGTGGGATGTAGTAAGTATCTCGTGGAATAGTCGAGGTGCGCGCAAGCTGGCGCTGGCACTACGATTATAAAAAGAATAATAATAATAATAGTGATGAAGTCGGCTACTATTAGTTTTGATGTGTGTGTGTGTATATATATATATATATTTTAGTTTCATTCTTGACATAACTTCTTTTGACAACTAGAAACTGATGTATAGTACCTATGACATACATGTAACATTGGGGATATTAGAAGTTAGAGGGGAAGTCATCAGATATATAGCACGGTTGTCAAACTTTTTAGCTTTTGATAGCGAGTTACTTTCATGAAAAGCTGGAAGCCAAAAAGAAATATGCTTATGGATGAAGCAAAGTGTTAATTTGTCTGCGATAAATTATTGCTTCTTTGACAATTGAGTTATGTGAAGCTTGGATAAAGAGAACTTACAGAGGAAAAGATAATGTTGTGGACTGGTCCAGGTGTAGGATGTTATTTCTGTGAAGCGGTGATATTGTTGTCACATTGTCTGTTGTTGTCCTGCTTGATATGTCATTACTAAGTATTTAGTGTTAGGAGATTCTGGCATCATTCCAAGATCTGCAGCCGGTTCGAATAAGTCTTTGCAATTCTTTTATCCCAAAGGTTAAGTATTTTTTTGGTTGTACCATCTGGCATCCAGTGCTCATTGACCCGACTAATCGGAATTCGTGCCACGTAGGGCCCCTTAGAAGGGTAAGCACTCCCTATCATATATTTCTCCATTCACAGGGCTCGAACCCTAGAGCTCTGGTTAAGGGCAGAGAGAATCCCTTAGTGGTCCCAAGGGTTAAGTATTATTTTATGCTTGATAAAATACCTTTTTCTGTCACCCCCTTCCCTTAATTTCTTTTTCTCCAATATATAGTGGTTGACGTTCCCCGATTCCACCTTTTTTGACAGCCTCATTCGTTTGAAGTACCAGGCCGTTTTAGTCTAATGTCGCAAGTGGATCCCCTTTTGTGCGTCATTGAAAATATTGAATTCTTTCAGCTGTTTAATGGTTCATTGATTTCTATGTTAATGCTTATTGTTAGCCTTTGTTTCTATATCGTTGTAAGTCCAGAGGCGGAGCCAGAATTTAAAGTTATTGGGTTCGAAATTCTTGTTCTTTTAAGTTATTGGTTTTTAAATTAAGATTTTGTACACATTCGATGGATTTCTCAAGATAAATATAGAGTTTGGACCAAAGTTACTGGGTTCGGCCGAACCCGTAACATGTACTGTGGTTCCACCCCTGGTTGTAACTACATTTAACATCATGCTTGTCCCATCTCCTGAAACTTCTGTTTGCAGGCTAGCATTGGTAAGCAATGGAAGGAGTTTCTAGATTACAGCGACTCGATTGGCTTCATATTTCATGTATGATATCTTAACTATGGTATTCCTTGAAATCATTTTTCTCATAATTTTGCGAGACTCGTAAAGAATCATCTTCTTTTGTAGGACGACGCAAAGAGGCTCGACAGAGGTGCCAAGAATCGTTATACAGTATAGTTTTCTTGCTACAATGGGGGAATGCAAGAAACAGAATCTGGACTGGAAAGTTTATAGGCACTAGCTTTGTTTGTACAATCATCTATACATTTGATATGCTGCCAGTTTGAGTACCTCTTGTATTAGTGTTTGTACTTCTAATTGAAGAAATTTGTTTGGTTTTGAATTAGTGCCTTCAGAATAACCTTTAGTCCTGCCTCCTTTCCTTTTTTCTTAAAGAATAAAATCTAAGTTGACCTGTTTCGTTTTTCTTTTTTCTGCACCATTTATATCATTGTTGAAATTAAAGTGGTTATTAGCGTTTTCTAAATTATTGTGCAGATGGGTAAAACACCTGGATATAAAATCAGCGGATAAAACACATTCTCTTTGCGAGATCCGATGGTGAAGAATGCATTTTGCCAACTTCATTCGACATAATTCTCTCAAGTGCCAAGTATACATTAGGTTTACAACATTATATACGTATTTGTCTCCTATCAACTTCAACTCACGAAAAATCTATATCTATATATATATTAAAGCAAGAAAGTTACTATATATAATTGACATTATGGTTAACCCAAGTGGCAAGCTAATAAATGTCAATAGTATATGGTAACTTTATTCTATATTTAACTATTTTAGTTAAATATAATATAATATATATATAGAATTTGAATTAAAAGATAATTTTGAATTTATAGATAAAGTTCTAAAATTCGAATTTAAATTAAAAGTAAAATTTATCTTTTTTTATCATGTTATCATACTTCATTCGATTAATGATCATAGGCAATCATGTTAGGAACTTTTGTTACTTTTTCTAATTATTTAAATACTACTTCGCCTCTAGCAAAAAAAAAAAAATACTCCATATAACTATAAAACTCTTTCACATTTAAAATCCTATAAGTATACTTCTTTGAAACACTGTAGCTAGATATAAATAAAACGAAATTATAATAAAATAAATGTAATATATAGGGTACACGTCTATGTTTATCTAAATAACAAAAAAGAGTTTACAGAACCAAATAAAAGTTTACTTACATATATAATAAAGTAAACATACACGCTGGAGAAAGAAACATCACAAAAGCAGTCAACATTAAAAAAAAAGTTGTTTCTTTTTTTCTTCTTGAAGAATATTTGTTTGAAGAGTCAATTTGCATAAATGGACATCAAATAAATAACAAAACTTTGGCTATACAATTGCTATCATTAATTCAATTTAGTACATTCAAAGAATTGGAGGATATAAGCTGAGACCCCNATTAAAAATTAACTATCATAGCAGTCTTAGTGGATAGCGTGCAATAATTTTTATTTTAATTATGACATAAAATACTCTCAACTTAATGATTTATGCTTAAGAAAAAAATAATTTTGAATAGTCAACGATTTATTTAAAAAATTTGAGGATTTACAAGGTTAGTTACATACAATTGCATAAAGTTCTATTAGGCGAGCCCAGTACGCTTGGCGTTGGGCGTATCCGGGGCGTAAGCCCTGATGGCTGAGGCGTAAGTCTCATGGAACTAAGCCCCACACATAGTGAGCCCCGGGTGAGTCCCAATTCTGCCTTTTAAAACAAATATATATATATATATATATATATATATATATATATATATATATATATACTAGTTTTANTCTTAATACTTAGGATCTTGTACATAGTTAAAATAAGAAAGTATTTAATAAATAAATTTTTAGTTGATTTCAAAGTCCAAAATTTTAGGTAAATAATTAAAATTTTATCTAGTATGACCTCTATTTTTAGAGGGTAAAAAAGGCGAACAATATTTCTCTAAGGGCCTTCGTGTTTTTAATATAGTATACTAGTTTTTGGATACGCGCGATGCGCGTGTACCTTGTACGATGCATATAAAATTATAAAAAAATATAAGCCCTTAAAATAAATTTTTTAAATATAAGCTCTTGAAAATCATAAATATTGAGCCTATATATTAAAAAAAACAGAAAAAAAGTAGAGGCTAAACATGAAACAACCAAGATGATTTTGAAAGTTTACCGTTTTTTTACATTAGATTCGTATTTAAATAATCGTCTAGATACCATGTATTCTAGACAAGTCAACTACATAAAGAAAATAATTAGCGATAAAAAAATCTGTAGTTAAATAATAAAAAATTATCACTAATCCTATTCAGTGACAAAATTAGTGACAGTTCAATAAAAAAAATTGATCAGCTACAAGATGAATTTCGTAACTAATTTATGTTTTTAAAGCTAAATTATGCAATAAAATTTCTTAGTAATAATATTAATTTATTTTTTAGCACGAATTTTTATTGAGGTAATTTAGGTATTTGTAAATTAAATTACGGTAATTTATTTTTTTATCACAAATTAATTATCACTTTTTTCCAAAAATAATTACTCTTCCCTAAAACCTAATGCCGTAGAAAATTTTAAGAACAGAAATAAACGAATTTAACAACCAAGCTTCTAAAAAGATAATTTTCATTTAAATTTTAAAAACAATAAATAAATCATATGAAAGGGAAATAAAGAGGCAAAATTGGTCCTTATGATTAAACAAGGACAAAAAACAGAAATGTTACACAAAATAGTGAAGTTTCCTTGTTGGAAACTAACGAAAAAATATCCTCCTCAAAAGAAAAAGGTTAAAAGGTTATTTTCTCTCGGCGCATTTTTAGCAAGGATAGCTAATGTGCGCGGAAGACGATGGCTCGCCGGAATACGAATCGGAAACCTAATTCACAGACAACACTGACGAAGGAAAGTACTGAGGATAATTCGAATCGCATGGTTACGCCTGAATCTGGAGTGATACAACATTTAGCTCCGGTTCAATTGGTACAATGGATGCCAGGTATGGGTAGTGCGCCGACAATCATGCAAGCACCACCACCGAAGGAAATTGAAACTATAAAAGTGACGGAGAACAATTTGAACACAGCAGCAAGGAAATTGACCTATTCTACTAGATCTGGAGAAGAGAAGAGAACTATGGCAGATGTGGTCAAAGGCAATAGAACAGTACAACAAGGGATGCAGCTCAAATTCTATCCACCTGAGGTAAGAGATGGAATTAAAATCGTGAAGCTGAATCAACAAGAAATGGAGCAGCAATGTAAAAAATGGGAGACAACACTCATAGGGTATGTTATGGGAGGAAACCCTACCTTCAAAGAGATGCTGAAATTTGCTTATGGGGTGTGGAATTCAGTTACTACTCCTACGGTACTACTGCATGATGATGGCTACTTCATCTTTAGATTTGAATCGATTGAGGATAAGCTGCAGATTATGGAAAAGGGACCATATACCTTCAACAATACACCAATGATTCTAAAGAATTGGGAACCTGAATTTGATATGGACAAGGAGCCTATGCGAGCGATGCCAATGTGGGTCACACTACCAGGACTACCTATCCAATGCTGGGCAGAGGAAAATTTGGGGAGAATTGCAAGTTGTTTAGGTAAACCAATATGCACTGACAAACTCACAGCAAATTGTGAGAGAGTATCATATGCTCGTGTGCTGATAGAAATGGATATAACACAGCCATTTCCTGATGATCTGCACTTAGAGCTGTCTGATGGGAAAGTGAGGGTGCAAACAACGGAGTATGAATGGATACCAAAATTTTGCCAGGAGTGCAACCAATTTGGTCATCTAATGGGGAATGTAAACTAGAAAAACAGACAGCAAGACCAGTACAAGTGAAGAAGGATAAAAAGCAGAGATGGGTGAGGAAAAGCAAGACAGATACAACAGAAATGGGTGAGGAGAATGAAACAAATGTTGCTGAGAAAGGAACACAAGCAGAAGTGAATACACAGCAGGAAAATCAGGAGGTTCAAATCCATATTGGATACAGAGGCAAACAGGCTATGATTTACCATGGTAAATCAAATACAAAGAACCAACTAACCATTGATTATGAAGAGCTGACAAGAAGGAATAAATATGCAACATTGAGGATCCAGGAAAATGAACCACCTGATCAGCAAGGAGGTAGTGCTATACAGGGGATTATCAAAGGGCCTACTCCAGATCCCCCCCCCCCCCTCCAATATGATATTTAGTACATGGAATATTAGAGGACTAAACAAGTCCTTTAAACAGAGGGAGTTTAAAGACTTCCTTCTAGAGAATAAAGTTGATTTAATAGGATGTTTGGAGACTAGAGTAAAACAAAGGAGAGCAAAGTATATACAGAAGAAATTTGGTAGAGATTGGAAAGTAATAGATAACTATAATGATGCTCCTAATGGTAGAATTTGGCTGTGTTGGAAATGATCAACTGTAAATGTAGATGTAAAGCAGATAACATCACAAATGATCCATTGCCATTTAAAAGGCAAAAACTCTGAATTTCAGAGTGATGTAACAATTGTGTATGGTCTTCATACTATAGCAGATAGAAGAGATCTATGGAACCAATCAAGGGATATCAGTGCAAGAACTAATGGCCCTTGGTTGATTATAGGGGACTTCAACAGTGTCCTATCAGTGGAATATAGAATTAATGGGGCTCCTGCTCATCAGAATGAGGTGGTGGATTTCAAACAATGTATCTCAGATATTGGAGTAGGTCTGATAAACAAAAAAGGGATGCAATTTTCATGGAGTAATAAGAGAGGGGCTGAAGAAAGGATCCATAGTCATATAGATTGGGCATTTGGTAATGCAGATTTGTTTGGGATGTATGCAGGTATTGAAGTAGTCTATTTGGTACTTGGATGTTCTGACCACACACCAATCATCCTGAATACAGAAGTTCAAAGAATGAAGATGAGGAAACAATATAGATTACTGAATGTAATGTTACAACAGGAAGAGTATAAGACTGCAGTGAAGAATATATGGAGACAAAATATACAAGGATGCACAATGTATGCCATTTGCAGGAAGCTTAAACTATTGGAGCAACAAACAAGAGGAATACAAAGACAATATTCATCAGTGGAGGAAAAACTCAAACATATGAAGGAGCAGCTGAAAAGAATACAACAGAAACTCAATGAAAACCTATTGAATCCACAGCTAATAGAGCAAGAAAAGGAAATATTGAGGCAAATAAAAAAATGGGATGCAGTACATGAGAAGGTATTAAGACAGAAGTCAAGGGCTATATGGATCAATCATGGGGATTCTAATACCAAATACTTCCATGCTCAATTGAGGTCTAGACAGGCAAGAAATAGAGTCACATCTATTTGTACAGAGAGAAATGAAAGGTTGACTGAACCTCTGCAGATCCAACAGGAGTTTATTCAGTTCTTCAAGAAGCTACTAGGAGAGGCAACACCAGTGATGCCTGGAATTGATGTTAACATAATCAGAGATGGCCCCTGCCTATCAATGGCACAGCAACAGCAAATGATAAGGCCAGTAACAGATGAGGAAATCACAAGGGTGGTACAAGAACTACCAAATGATAAAGCACCAGGAATGGATGGATATCCAGCAGAATTTTTCAAAGAAAATTGGAAGATATTGGGTGATGATGTGATACAAGCAGTAATGCAATTCTTTGAAACAGGGAAGATGCTTAAAAGAGATCAATTGCACCACACTCACACTCATACCTAAGGTGACAAATCCTAACTATGTAAAAGAATTCAGACCTACTGCTTGTTGTTCTACATTGTACAAAATTATAGCAAAGCTGATTACAAATAGACTGAAGCTGGTAGTAGACTATCTGGTGGGCCCTTCAATATCAGCATTCATAGAGGGAAGAAACATCTTAGACAATGTAATTCTAGCTCATGAACTAATCAAGGGGTACAATCAGAAAATAGTGTCACCAAGATGCACAGTCAAGGTAGATATTAGAAAGGCATATGACTCAGTGGACTGGAATTTCCTAAGGGCTCTTATGCTGGAACTTGGGATACCTGGGAAAATGGTAAAGCTTATCATGGAGTGTGTTAGTACAGTCTCATACTCCTTATTAATCAATGGAGGATTAACATCAAGATTTCAAGCAAAAAAAGGATTAAGACAAGGTGATCCAATGTCACCCTATCTCTTTGTCTTGGTGATGGAGTACTTGAATAGAGCTTTGAAACAACTGAAAACAAATCCTGATTTTAATTACCACCCCAAATGTGCAAGATTGGGAATAGTCCACATCTGTTTTGCAGATGACCTGTTAATGTGCTGTAGAGCTGACAAGGTGTCTATTGAACTTATGATGAAGCAATTTGAAAAGTTCTCCACAGCTTCAGGATTACAGGCAAATATGGAGAAGAGTTCTTTTTATGTGGCACGAATGTCTAGTCAGCACAAGCAAGAGATACTAGAGAAGCTGCAGTTCACAAGTGGTGAAATACCATTCAAGTACCTAGGAGTTCCATTATCCTCAAAGAAACTTAACATTAGTCAATGCATGCCTTTGGTGGATAGAATTGCAGCAAGGATCAGATGCTGGACAACAAAGTTTCTATCTTATGCAGGGAGGGTCCAACTAATCAAAAGTGTGCTATTCGAAATGCAAACATACTGGGCACAAGTCTTCTTGATTCCAAAAAAAGTTCATGATCTGGTAACAGGGCTATGCAGGAATTTCCTATGGCATGGAAGCAATGAAGGAAGAAAAGCTCCTATAGCATGGGACATAATCTGCAGACCAAGAACATCAGGAGGACTGAACATTGTAAACTTCTATATGTGGAATAGAGCAGCATTAGGAAAGTTGATATGGGCAATTACACAGAAGGACGACAAATTATGGGTTAAGTGGATACATATCCACTATATAAAGAAGAATGAGATTGACAACATGGAAACCCCCAAGCAAGCTAGCTGGGTGGTAAGGAAAATATTTGAAGCCAGAAAATGGCTAGCCACTGGAGTTCAAGAACTAAAACAGTACACTGTACATGGGAAATATACCATCAGAAAAGCTTACCATTCATTCATGCCACAATACCCAAAGGTTAATTGGAAGACATTATACATGGCACAAGGTATGCTTCCTAGGCATCGGTTCATACTGTGGATGGCAATACATCAGAGATTAACAACTGCAGACAGATTGATCAGATGGGGAATCCAAGTACCTGCAGAATATGCTTTGTGCATGACAAATGAAGAAGAAACTCATGATCACCTATTCTTTGATTGTTCATACTCAAAATTCATATGGAAACAGATTCTAAACCTGTTTGAAGTTGATAGACAGATAGGAAGATGGCAGGAAGAAGTCAACTGGATGACAACAAAAACAAGAAGCAGGAGTACTAAGTGGCAGATACTAGGAAATGCCTTTGCTGCAACAGTATACCACACATGGATGGAAAGGAACATACGAAGGTTTCAACAAACTAGCAGAGAAAGTAAGGAAAGAGTTAGAGAAATTGTATTACAATTGCATATTAGAGGTGCTAGCAAATGTAAATGGAGAGATGTATTAGATAGGATAGATAGATATCCATGTTAGTAAAATGTTAGGTTCCAGTTGTGGAACTAAGGAGGAAAAATAGGCTATTTTTGTAAGACCCGATTCTAGAGTCCAAAGAGCGGGTGGATGTAAATATTTTCACTTGGTTAAATAAAAGTTTTACAGTTTAACCAAAAAAAAAAAAGAAAAAATATCCTCCTACTTTTTTGGATTCTTTTATTGTCTTAATATTTTGTATCCTTATTATGAGAAGATATCAAACACTAAATTAGTTAAAAAAAACTTAATTGATTTGGAACTCCAAAATATAAGGAAAGCTTTTCGATTTACAATTTTATCCAATGTAAAACATATTTTTAAAGAATAAAAAAGGCGAACGACATTTCGCTAAGGGTCTTCGTGCTTTTAATATAGTATAAATAGATACTAGTGTTAGTGTACATGCGTTGCACGTGTACATCGCGTCAATCATTATTAAATGTATACAAGACAAAAAAATATTGAAAAATAGCAATTAAAGTTAAAATAAATGCATATATGTATAAATAATAAAATTAATTTACATTGACATAGTAGTTAAATTCAATATCTTTGAACATGCAAAAGATGATGAATTTTGTTGGATTAATTAAATGGTATTTGTAATTATAAATAATTAATTATATTAGAAACAAATATGTTATGTTGTTATATTTCACCTAATATCTCTTCGTAAATGTTACATTCATAATTTTATTATATAAGAAGATAATGAATTTTAGAAAAGGAAAGTAATGAATAAGGAAATAACGAAGATTTTAATATTAATTGAAAATTTTGGACAATCAATCTTTTTAAAAGAACTAAGAGCTATCTCTTTCAGTTGATATAAAATGGAGTATAAAAACTTTCTGCTAATTCCAATCATGTAACGAATCAATTAGTTTTTCATTTTCATGAAAGAAAATAATATTTAATTAAATTATCAAGATTCTAAAATAGATATTTTATGTTGAAAAATGAGTTTAATCTACTTTTATATGATAAAAGAGATTACAAGTTTTAAAAACGTTCTATGCTATTTACTTCCATTCTTTGTCCTTTTCTCGATTGATTTCACTCACATTTTGCTGATGATAAATATTTATATTTGATTTTATACTTTTGTAATAGTATAAATAAATAGATATTATTTAGAAAGTTTTAGTTTTAAAGCATCTCAAATTTGTTGCTAGCAAATACCATTAATTTTTTTGTATTTGGCTGATTGTATTAATTATTCGGTTGAATATTCATAACTCAA